GGTCACTAAATGTCTCTCTCTGTCTTTAAGGATACTCTCTCAAGTGTTACTGGTGCTTGTCTGCTCAGGGGGCTACCTGTGAAGCAAAAGTGCAGATATGTGGAGATGGAGTTTCCAAATGTCAAACCCAAACAATAGAACAATCCACTGGTAAGTCCAGTATGATGTGGAAATTGTAATTAATTTGATTAATTCATGAATAAAGTATCCACTTCATTTTACAATGCAAAATAAAGTTTCTGTTAATGTGTGAAACTTCAGATTCATCATCCACTACGTAAATAACTAGAATAACAGTGCGCTACAAACCAGTGTGTTTATGACCTATACATTAAAATAATATTGGAAATACCGGTTATCAGTATCAAGCAGACTGTTTCTGTACAGCTAAAATAAAAGGAAGATGATTTACATTCAAGTTACAAATGGACAAGGATGCTTTTGATCTTTTCACAAAACTACTGTTGAAATTGTTTAATTATCCTATTATATAAAGGTTTGTGTCTTTTTTTGCAGGTTCCACAAAGGTCTCCATCAAAACTAAACAGTGTGCACTTAGATGTGAAGCTGGGACCCAAGAGCTAATAACTGGAGAGATTGTAACCCACTGCTGTGACACTGACCTCTGCAATGCAGCAGGTAATGTTCTTTATATGATCATGTGCTTGATTTTTCCTACAGTGACTTAAAATGAGGAAATACTACAAACAATAATACAACAAACACAAGTGACTGTCCAAAGGAATAATCACATTTCAAGTGTAGTGCAAAGCTAGAGCGGCAGGAAAAGGAAGTTTAATCAACAATGAATAAGCACTTTTTAATTGCGATTATTACTAGTTGTTGCATTAATTAACAGTAATTTTCTTATTGTCTTGATCAGATGGCGTGTATAAGGGAAGCTTCCTCCTTCTGTTGTCTCCTCTGCTCTTCTACTTCCTGTTTCAGTGAGTCCAGCTGCACTTCAGATTCTACAGCTGCAGCAGAAACTGAATGTCACACGTTTCTAGTCCTACTTTATTAATAAAGCTTGTTTTGTTAGTCTGATGTTCTTTAGTATCATGTTTTATTAAACGCGTTAAACAAAATACTGAATAATGTGAGTTGTTCTGCTGATCTTGTGTCATGTTTTGATTAAGGGAGGTCTGTATTTTATTATTATTTGGTCTTTTAATATCTGTCTTCTTAATACATTAAGCCATATTACTGTAAGTAGGCTATTAATGATTTTCTACGGAAGGAAATGGTTTTGAGAGTTTTGTGTTTAATTTGTGTCACGGCCATAGATTTGTGGATCTTGTTTTCTCTCCTACAGGTGAATTTAGTTGGTAAGTTATAGTTCTACATTTCTTTTAATTGTTTAACTACCACAGCGTCTTGTCTCCATTGGCAACGCTCATGATTTTTGTAAAATTGCAAGCAGGGCTGGACTGGTAAACGGGCATACGGGGCATTTTCCCAGTGGGCTGACGCACTTAAAGGCACAATATGTAATTTTTCGCAGCTAGAGGGCGCATATTCAATATTAACAGAAACAAAGGCGTAGTTTGATGATGCAGTGACTGAGTGTGGAATCATGGGAGTTGTGGTCTTCATCCCCACAGCCGATGCA